TAGTATGCCAAATAATGTGAGAAAGGTTATGAAATGAACTTTGACTCAACCATTCCAAAATTGACTTCGACAATATAATCGGCTAAAGGTTTATGAACTCAAGTGATGCCCATATGTGGTTGTTTTAGCTAATGCTATGCTTTATAAGTAATTTTCAATGTGCTTTGCATTCTTACACATTCGGGAGTGGAAATTGTGTATGATTATAATTTGTGCTTTGATTGCCAATCATTTTACTCCATTTATTGGAAAGAAATCGATTATGTTTAAAGCCTTCATTACTAATGAACTTAAAGTTGTGATTTTCAGAATATTCTACTTGTTGATAATTATGATGATGATCTATGAAAGGGAAGAAATGAAAGTGTGGAATATAAAATACGGCCATTGCGCCATGAATAAAGAATCATATGTATGGCCAAGAGAGCCAATGAAATAATAATGTTGTAAGTGGTTGAAAGTACGGATTAGGTGATATGTGATGTGAAAGGTTATGAGATGTACGTATTTGTACTTTTGTTTCCAATGTGTTATGAAACCCTATGGACGGTCTATGAAACGCATAGGTATATTGTGTTATGAAATCCTGTGGACGGTCTATGAACGCATAGGTACATTGTGTTATGAAATCCTGTGGACGGTCTATGAACGCATAGGTACGTTGTGTTATGAAATTCTGTGGACGATCTATGAAACACATAGGTACATTGTGTTATGAAATCCATTGTGATATGAAATCCTGTGGACGGTCTATGAAACGCATAAGTGCATTGTGTATAAGAGGTATAGATGTACGGTATGAATAAACACTGTGGACGGTCTATGAAACACATAAGTGTATAATATGATATGTGAACACTAAGAACGGTCTAATGAGACGCATTATTAATGCAGACAATAGGTGCCCCTTTTTATTGTCCTTATTTGTACAGGTTGTTTCGATTACATTATATTATGTGTTCCCCGTATAGATCATATGGGCATTCTATTTTGAAAGAGGATTTCTAGCTATACATACTAGTGTTATTCGACAGTACTAACGTCCCTTTTGTTGATGGCGCTACATCTTTAATGGATGCAGGTGGTTCTATAGCAGGTGGCATTGATCAGTGATAGCAGTACACTCCTTTCAGCCGATTTGGTGAGCCCCACTTCATTTCAGGGTCATGTATCTTTTGTTTCTCATGTACTTTGTGGTTGAGGTATAGCCGGGGCCTTATTGTCGGTATTTCCATATTACTCTTCAGTTGTACTTAGAGGCTCCGTAGACAGGTTGTGGGTGGTATTTGATGTTGGGAATTGGATTAGAACTGTTGGTGTTTGGCAACATGTTTTTCATTAAATCTATAAACTCGTACCATTTTGGAAATATTGAATAATGTTGTTAATGGGAATGAAATGGAAGCGGTTAATGAAATCTCTTCAGTATTTGATTAACGGAGTACATCTCCTCTTTATTCATAAATGAATCTGGGTAGAATGAAATATAACAGGCTTGCTCAGTCGGGTTCACTCGGTTGAGCACTGGTCGCGCTCCTCGGTTTTAGGGCGTGACATTAGCATTCAGCGAAGGATCGGTAAGACTCCACTTCATTCGGAGTGCAGCCGAGTCTATAAGTCATCATGTCAGATTTTTGCTAAAGACTTACGGGTAGGTCGGGGCCCTATCACGTTGATGTCGAATACTCTTGTGGCTTTGTAGACACAGGTTCGTTACGTACAATATGTCAGAGGACTTGACGGCCCATGTGCGTTCATGTTTTAAGTATGATGGATTGTTGATATAGTGTTTGCCCATTTATAGTTATACATTACGAGTTGTGGCCATGTTGGCCTATGATGGTTATAGAAAGAATGAGTTTAGCCAAGTCGACCTATGTATGTTCTAGTTTTCATTGAACAACCATGAGTTACAGAGTGGTTTGCTCGAGCCAGTACAGCATTGGGTGCCAGCCACGCCTCCCTAGGTTGGGGAGTGACAAAGTGATATTAGAGCAGGTCGTATCTTAGCGAGTCTATAAAGCCGTATCTAGTAGAGTCTCGCTTATGGGTGTGTTACGTGCCACACTTATATTTGAGAGGCTACATGGCATTTAAGAAATGTTACCCTTCTTTCATTTCCAGATCGTGCCATAGAGTTGAGTCATAAGAAGTCAGTATGAAGCTTCTGCTAGGTTATGTATGCACCAAAGGTACAAGTATTATAGTACAGCTTTAAGGCGTGGATGTAAATTCCACCTATGTGGAAGGGAAGTTATGAAAGCGACAGAAGATACGATGCGAGATATAAAGGTAAGTAAGGTAAAAGTGAATAAGATACGAGATACTCAAGTACATAAGGTTATGGATAATCCAGACTTCAGATAGAGGGCTATAAGAGCTGTGATTCAATATCCAGAAATGATAGTGGTGTTGTCAGTAGCACATCTTCCAACCTATGGTTTCCATGTATCGAGAGGTCCACTTATTAGACCAAAGAAGAATTAGAGGCAATGTGATGTCTTGTTTAATGTTCCAGAATAACATAAAGAAATCTATGGTGTTAGCAAGTTAAATGAATGGTGTGAGTAGTATGAATAGATACATGTAGGTTGCAAGCTAAAGTATGGTAGAGCGACAAGGTTTTAGGTAGAAAGGAGTAAGGATAAGAAAATATGATCAAGAAGATGAAGAGAATAGGTAAGACCTTGGGATTAAGCCCATCAAAACGAGAAAGCTTATGGTTTACGTAAGTTATAGAAAGCTCAGTATAGCTTGAATGAACTCGAAGGAGTTTAAGACTAGGAGCATTTAGAAGAGATGGAGTGATGCCCTAATAGTAGAATAGGAGTGTGAGTGCGATAAATAAAAAGAGTATGATATTTATGAATATAGCCTTCGATGAAGTAATGATTCAACGTGAAGGGATTTGATGATTTGCACGAGATAAGATTAGGTTCGGTTTTAGTTTATTTAAGAGAGGAGACTATGGTAAAATTTTCGTAAGTCTCTAAGAGATAACATTCAAGGACGAATGTTTCTAAAGAGAGAAGGATGTTATATCCCGTACTTTTGTAAGTTGGATTTGTCATAAGATAATTGACATAAGTTCAAGGACAAGATAATTTTTGAGGTTATAATGCTTATGCTAAGTTTTAGAAAGTGTTGAGGAAGTGTCGCAAGGATTAGAGGTCAACAAATCGAAGAGAATAAGTTTCATCAATGTAATACCCCGTGCTTTCAGGCTATGGCTTGAGCCGCTCGGCGTATTCAACTAGAACTGAGCCACGAAGAATTTTGTTCATATTCGAGTATGTAAATAAAGAGCACGGTGTATAATAAGATAAAGTCCCAAAATAATGTAGGACATAAAAGCGTGACGATGGTGGTAGGGAATAATATTTGGTGTGTATAAGGAGGCTATGGACTAGAATTATACCACACGATAGTGATAATGAGTTTACGAAGTGTGTATAAAGTGATTATTATTTAAGTGAATTAAGATTAAAAAATTAATTATGCGGATAATTAGTTAAATACAAGGATGTAATTAGGGGATTAGTGGAAGACAAGTGTCCAAAATAAGGGATAATTATGTAGTCCACGTGGGACTACTCAAAAATCCACCTTATGACTCATGTTTTATGGTATAGGTATATCTTTGTGGTTGCTCCATGGCCAAGCTTCTTTTTCTTATTAAGTGAATATTATGTGAGCCCCACAACCCACTAAGTATTAGCAAACTTCAAAGTTTCATTTCAGTATATGTATATTATTAACAAGCATAACCACCTAGCCTAAAAAGCACAAAAACGTGAGAAATTGAGAGGCAACTTTGGGATTTTATTTTCAAAAACTTTATATCTTATGATGGGGAAGAACGTGGGTAGCAAAATCATAATAGAGAATTTATCCCTCCATCTCTCATAGATTAGGTTGTCGTAGTTGCTTGTGGCATGACTGTTTGGAGCAAAATTGGTAGGTCCTAAGCATATATTGGGTTGTTGATGACATCCAAATCCACTACTAAAAAGTAAATGGACATGGTCGCATACAATATAATTTAACCAACTATAAGTCGGGGTCGAATCCCACAGAGAACAATATGTAGGTGATTAGGCGTGTAAGAGAATTATCACTTGTTATGCTAAGTCAAACACTTAGAAAGGTTTTGAGAAAATATTTATAACTAATTGCGAAAATATAAACTAACCAGGAAAGCAAGTAAAATGATCAATGGCTACAAGCATGGATGCATTGTGAATTACACTCAAGTAACGATCCAATGTATTTCACGATTTTACAAATATGAGCGAGTTTATGTTAATTAGCCTCAGGTAATAATTCTATATTAGCTTCTTCCGAAGACTAACAAAATTTCCTAATTGAATTATCCCTAAAATAATTAAGAGATTAAGCACACCCGAATATGGCTACAAGTAGTTCAATCATATCCCTAGGTAGAATCTATAAAGTGAGGGTTAATGCCTCAAGTTCTTGTTAATTAATTTTTCTCAACCCCAAATTATCTTTCCCAAAATTAATTCGAAGTGAATGGGCAAGTCCTAGGGTTAGCTAATCCCTTTGGAAACATTAAAGAACAAGAATAATAAAAGAAACAATAACTCACTTCATAATAAATAAAAATCGTTCAATACATAAGCACAACAAGATATTTAATCCACACTTTAATTATGAATATTCCCATAAACAAGATTCAAGTGTTGGAAAAAATACTACACACTTATATATTCAATACAAACCAAGGAAATGAAGAAATGAACATAAATGGGTAAGCAATTCTCAACCAAAAGCTTCAAATCTTTAAGACCCAAGTGTGTGTGCAAGAACCCTAGCTTCCAAACTTGTCTTCTCTAGTCAAGAGACTCAAAAATAATCAAAATATATGCCAAAGATGTGTTTCCAATAAGCTAGGTTGTGTATTAAAGGGTTTGGTGCCAAAAAATATAAAATTACAGAAGTGCCCAAAACTGAAGCGCGACCTTCGCATTTGCGAAGGAATGTTTGCATTTGCGAACCTTGGATTTTCTGCTGAAGATCGCATTTGCGATGGGGGCTTCGCATTTGCAAAGGTTGACTGTCTGGTTTGACTTCTCATTTGCGGCCTTCATTTCGCATTTGCGCCCCTTTTTGACTTGTTTTTTCTTGGTTTCTTCCCGATCACTTCTAAATCATATAAAACCTGTAAAGTAGAAGTAAACGACATTAAACACACTATTTTATCAATAAAATATAAATCTAAGATTAAAGACGAGATAAGTTGGTAAATTATCAACTTATCAGTTGTCTTGCTGCATATTCTTAGGTATTGATGATTTGAATTTAAAGGGATTAAAAGAGGTTGTAGTTGTGGTTGTTAAAGAATAAGGGAAATGTTGTTCGTTCAATTTCCGAACTGAATTATCGTTTGATGTAAGTGATATACTAGCGTCATCTAAGTTCGCATATGCATTCCTTTGTTATAAGATTGGCATACTAGTTATAAAGAGTTCGTTGTTGGATTGTGTTGACGACTTGAGGTATGTTAAGGCTAATACTTCCTTATTTTGGCATGATCCAAGTAACGAAACGTAAACGTAATGTTATTCCATAAATGATTCTACTCTTAGTAGTTAAGGATGTCTATGTTATTCATTCCTGTAAAATGTAATTCAAAGCATGTCTAAGTATGTTCCTAAGTCTCTACTGAGGCATACGATAAAGATGTTAATGTTCATAATGTAGTGTTATATACATCTTCATTTACCACCGAGCTATAGCCGGTTTGACAGTCATGCATCTTCAATTACCACCGAGCTATAGCCGGTCGGGCAGTCATGCATTTACCACCGAACTACTGCCGGTTGGGCAGTCATGCATCTTCATTTACCACCGAGCTATGGCCGTTCGGGCACTCATGCATTTACCGCTGAACTACGGCCGGTTGGGCAGTCATGCATCTTCATTTTACCATCGAGCTACGTTCGCTTGGGCAGTTATGCATCTTTATTTGCCACCGAGCTACGGACGGTCAGGCAGATATGTATTTACCATCGAGCTACAGCAGGTTGGCCAGTCATGCTTCTTCATTTACCACCGAGCTACGGCCAGTCAGACAGTCATGCATTTACCACTGAGCTAAGGCCGGTCAGGCAGTTACCACTGATCAGTTGGGCAGTCATGTTACGATATTGATAATAGTCCTAAAGAGAGCCATTAAATATATAAGTATAATAAGTATACATATACGGTGGCTTTTCAGAGGTTCAGGTTGATTCTTATATCTCTCTCATTAATGTTGACTTATTGTCATGTCTCAATTTAGCCTTACATACTCGGTACATTATTCGTACTGACGTCCTCTTTGTTGTGGATGTTGCATTCTTGCCTGCAGGTTTAGGTAATCAGTTTGACGAGCCCTCATAGTAGACGAGGTTAGCATTCAGTGAAGTATCGGTAAGACTCCACTTCATTCGGAGTGCAGCCGAGTCTATAAGTCATCATGTCAGAGTTTTGCTAAAGACTTATAGGTAGGTCGGGGCTCTGTCTCGTTAATGTCGAATACTCTTAGAGGCTTTGTAGACACTGGTTCATTATGTACAGTATGTCAGAAGCCTTGGACCGTGTATGTTAATGTTTTAAGTATGATAGATCGCTGATACAGTAATTGCCCACTTACAGTTATGCATTACGAGTTGTGGCCATGTTGTCCCATGATGGTTACAGAAAGAATGAGTTTAGCCAACTCAACCTATGTATGTTCTAGTTTTCATTTAACAATCATGAGTTACAGAGTGGTTCGCTCGGACCAGTACAACACCGGGTACCAGCCACTCCTCCCCAGGTTGGGGCGTGACAATTCTTGATTTCAAGGGTAATTGGGATGATCATGTGCCGCTCATAGAATTTTCCTACAACAATAGCTATCATGTCAGCATTCAAATGGCATCGGTCGAAGCTCTATATGGTAGGTGATGTAGTTCCCAGATCGGTTGGTTTGAAGTTGGAAAAGCATAATTGATAGTGCCAGACTTTATGCATCAAGCTATGGAGAAGGTCAAGATCATCATGGAGTAGCTGAAAATCACTCAGAGTTGCCAAAAGTCCTATTTGGATGTGCGACGCAGAGATCCAGAGTTCAAAGAGGATGACTGTGTATTCTTGAAACTTTCCCCCATGAAAGGCATAATGCGATTTGGAAAGAGAGGGAAATTGAGTCCAAGGTATATCGAACCTTATAGAATTTTGCAGAAGGTTGGTCAAGTGGCCTATAGTCTCGAGTTACCTCCCGAGTTATCCTTAGTGCACCCAGTATTTCACGTTTCCATGTTGAAGAAGGTGGTTAGAGATCTGTCGCTCATCGTCCCTGTGGAGGCTATTGAATTTAATGAAGAGGTTCATGTTTCCATCCTTGATAGGCAAGTTCGTAAGTTGAGGAATAAGGATATTACCTCTGTCAAAGTGTTATGGCGAAACCAACAAACTGAAGAAGCCACCTGGGAGGCAGAGGAAGATACGAAGAAGAAATACCCCTATTTGTTTGTAAAGACAGTTGGTCATGTTTAAAAGATACTAAAAGTGTCTTTCATATGTATTGTGTTTGAATTTTTAAAGTTTATGCTCATGTGTTCTTTATGGTCATGTAATGAATATAATGTTGTGGTTGATGTTGCCCCGTGTGTGTGTAATACTTAGTTGGGTTATGTAATGTGTTGTTAGAATTGGTTCTGCGGTTATCTGATAGGTGGATATGCCTAAATACAAAGGAAACTCTATCGAAATTTCTAGAAATTTAGGGAGTTAACCAAATTCTGAGCCATTGGTGTGTGAATGAGGAGTTTAGTCATGTTGGGCGTCTATGGCAGACTCTAACCCTCATTCGAGGATGAATGGTCATAAGCGGGGGAGAATGTAAGGCCCCGTAAAAATCAGCCAAATGTTTAAGGTTTTATAGGTCAAGCTAATATGCTTTATAGAAGAATTGGCATGAGAGGGCGATTCTGCGGCAAGTTATGCAGACTGCGAATCAGTTTCTCTAACCACAGAATCATCGCGGATTGGGGCAAAAGCAAACTAAAATTTGAGGGTCATTTCGCAGTGGGTTATGCAGACCGCATAGCTATTGTTTGGACCGCAGATCCATCACGGAATTGGTTAGGTCACCTGGGGAATTTTTTAAGGATATTTTGCAGTCCAATATGCGAACCGCAGAACTGTTATGCGGACCACAGATCTGCCGCACATTTGTCCAGTTCTATATCAAACTTGGAGGACCATTTTGCAGTCCATTTCACGGATCGCAGAAGCATTCCGCGATCGCAGATCTGCCTGAGAGGGGTATTGTTGGAAACCTTTTACCTGACCCTATTTAAAAGGAAAAAAAACTTGGTCTTTTAAGAGGGGATCATACTAGAGAGAGGGAGAAGCTCCAATCTTTGCTACTCTTCAATTTTTTGCCATTCTTGGAGATTCAAGGAAGGAATCATACTAGAGATCCTATTAACTAGGTAAGACTTCATCACTAGCTTACATAAAATGTTCAATAGTGAGTTGATAAATAAGATTTTAGTGTTGGTGTCACACCCCAACCTTGGGAGGTGCGACCGACACATGATGCCCGAAGGCTCGTGCGAACCGACGTTTATTCTATTCTTTTCTTAATCATAAAAATTTGGGCCAATGAGGCCACCGAGTGCTACTGCCACAGTCAAAATAAAAACGTGCACAACTAACTTGCAAAAGAACATGGATTTGTTATACATTTTCATAATTGTACCTAACAAGGTTACAACCCATTCTTTTACATACAGCCAAACTCTAGTCTGCAAGCCTCTAAGAGTACCAAAATGAGATATATACATACATAACTCTATCGGGACAGGACCCCACCATACCCAAAAATAATTAGAACACATGTTTCAGTACTTGTTGACTTTGAACAGCTACTCTGAAGGAGTGGAGAGCACTGACCAATCAGTTATGTCACACCCCGACCTCAGGGAGAGCGACCGGCACTCAACCGAGATACCTCGGTCAAGCAAGCCTGCTAGATGCCTTCTACCTAACCTTTCCCATTAACAATATAAGAATCAGTCGCCAGAAATATACATGAGAGGAGTCAAGTTTTCCACATTCTTTTTCATTACTCAAGGAGATTCATTTTATAATTTTCAAAATATTACAAGTTTATAGATATGATGAAAAACATGTTTTCCACATACAAACACTTCTAGTTCATAACCCAACATCAAACACCACCCACAACCTATCTACGGAGCTTCTAAGTACAACCGAAAAGTAGAATGGAAGTGCCGACGATAAGGCCCCGGCTATACCTTAAAACGTAAAGTACAACGTCAAATGACATAAAGCCCGGAACAGAGTAAGGCTCACCAAAACTTGCTGAATATGGAGTAACTGGTAATGAGAATTAAAATTTTTCGTTGTCAAGCCACCTGCATCCATTAAAGATGCAGCGCCCCCGGCAAAAGGGACATTAGTACATATGGAATAGTGCTAGTATGTAAAGCTAACTGTCCTCTTTCAAAATAGAATGCCAAAATAAAAAGGGAGAACCATGGAAACAGCAACAACAACCAATGATATCCAAATACCGAGTTAAAAATAATAATTTTCAAAATACGATAGTAATATTATTTTTGGTTGGAAGATCCCTTGTAATAACCTCTACACAAAGCAGCCCCGCCGCCTCACCCCAATATGTGTGGGTGGAGGTGTAACCACAATACCATAAACTCTATACAAAGAGTCCTTGCCGCCTCACCCCAATGTATGCGGGTGGAAGTGTAATCACAATACCACAACTCTACACAAAGCGGCTTTGCCGCCTCACCCCAATGTATGCGGGTGGAGGTGTAATCACAATACCATAAACTCTACACAAAGCGGCCCTGCCGCCTCACCCCAATGTATGCGTGTAGAGGTGTAATCACAATGCCATAAACTTTACACAAAGCGACCCTTCCGCCTCACCCCAATGAATACAGGTGGAGGTGTAATCACAATAACACAACTCTTCACAAAGTGGCCCTACCGCCTCAGCCCAATGTATACGGGTGGAGGTGAAATCACAATACCACAACTCTA